TAAGACCGCTGGCATTTATATCTGATCTATATGGTAAATAAGGCCGCGCCATAGCTCAAGCTGTTAGTCTCTGGCTTCCCTCCGCAGCGGCCCGGGTTGGAGCCCGGGTCTGATCAAGTGGGATTTGTGGCGGACAGAGTGGCGCTCTGGCAGGCTTTCTCTGAGTACTTGTTTCCCCTGCCAATCTATATTCCACCAAATTCTCCATAATCATAATAACCCGGGGCAGGTACAATATGCCAATCAGTGGCCGACATGCCGAGTGGGCCCAACTAGACTCCACCCCCCCACCACTATGCGAACTAAAAAAATTGTAAATACTTATGAAGCATAGATATTTTTATTTTTAAAAACTATTCTCTGATCCCGTAGCCTTCATTGTAGGCCAGTTTTGTATTACTTTCACATTCTGGGGAATAGGCCTGATTAAAATTAGAACTTACATCCGCTGCTGTGCGTTGTTTTGCGTCTTGCTCTACCGAACAGATAGGGCGGTACATATGTGCAGTTGATAACCTGTCATTTATCAGTAACGCTACTACTGTGAAAGCTACGACGTTCAATGAAAATAACTGGCTGATTGCTGGAACTTCTGATTTGCCTTACCGTAAGGGATTATGTGCCGGTCACGGTAGCCGAGCGGTTTAAGGCATGTAGTGTCTTCGCTCGCTCGGAAGCCGGGATCGTGGGTTCGAATCCCACGCAAGGTATGGATGTTTAGTGTGTGTTTGCGTTTATTCTGTCTGTGTTTAGGTAGAGGCCTTCCGACGAGGTGATTACCCGTCCAAGGAGTCCCACCGTCTGTAAAAATGATCATGAAACCGAGAAATCAGCCCCGTGCTCAAAAGTGGGAGCGAGAGGAGGAGCAAAGAAGAAAGAGAAGGGATTGTGGACTGAACTAAAATTGTAATTCAATTTTAATGAACCGTGATGCACACTTTCTGCTTGAAGCAAACCTGCCTTTGTATTTCAGGAGCAATGATCCAGGCTTTGGTTCAGGGGGCAACAAGGAATTCAGGTTTCCCAGGAACTTGGGACGTTTCTGTAATTGGCTTCTGACGTTTGTCATCTCGATGCTCTAAATCCCAGAAATGTGTACATTGTATTTTAAATCTTTATTTAAATCGTTCGTGTATTTATTTGATTAAACAAGAACATTAGCCCGTATAAGTAAAGCTTCTGGCTATTGGCAAGATGACTAGGGTTCAGTCTCCAGCAGGGACAGGGATATTTATCTTTTATCACCTGGTCCAGTCGCCTAATCCCCCCTCGCCCGTCCCATCTGGTGGGTACCAAGACGCTTTCTCCGCTATAGAACGGCCCCAGCCTGAAGAGGACCTCTCCGCTCCATTCAGTGGTTTCGTGGCTGAGAGTGTATGGAATTTGCAGTGTAATAAATGGACGAATTCCAGTGGGTGACCGCCGCGATTGTGGATGGGGCTTACTGACATATTTCGATTATAAATTTTCGTTAAAGTAGTATAAAGGAAAATACTGATTTGCTTCATAACATACTCTTCTTACCTTGATGTAACAAAGTCATTGCATTTGTTCTGCCTTGATGGATTAGGCCCTCTGTCCTGTTTCCCATCATAATTAATTGAATCTTGTAGACAGTCGGTAGGACTCCTTGCAGGGGGATCAGCCCGACGCAAAGCAGCCACTGTACAGCGACAACACAGAAACAACAAAGGTAGACAGACATCCATGCCTCGAGTGGAATTCGAAACCACGATCCCAATGCTTGAGCGGGCGAAGACATTTCATGCCTTAGACCGCGCACCCACTGTGATCGGCTCCAGTGTATTTAAGCGAATGTAATGACAGTATTGCAAACGGTATTTACGCCTGAAATGAAAATTTCGGTGCGTAAGGAATATAACCAATTGTAAAGTGAAGATGGCGATAGTGTTTCTAATAAGTAATAAGAAGGCTGTAATAAAATTATCAGGATTCAGAAATGTTTAAATTGTCATTGTTTTTATCTTTAACATCCAGTTGGTAGTCACATAGCAGGCTGTATTCAGGCGCGTCTGCAAGCTTTCGCATATTAAAGTCGCTTCGTCAGTCCATCCGCTCGCCCTACTGTCCTTCCTGTCGTCATTCCAGTCGCCCTTCTATCCGTCCTGCCATCACTCCCTTCCCCGCCCTCTGTCCTTCCTACCGTCATTCCAATCGCCCTTCTATCCGTCCTGCCGTCACTCCGCCCGCTCTCTATCCTTCCTACCGTCATTCCAGCCGCCCTTCTATCCGTCCTGCCGTCACTCCGCCCTCCTGTCACTCCGGCCGTCCCCCACTCCGTCTTTCCTCCGTCCTTTCTGTCACTGATTCTGTATTCACGAAACAACTGCGGTGTTGCTGAACAGATCTTAATGGAATTTTAAATTGAGAATTTTAATTAATTTTGTCCAACATTACAATTTTAATTAAATCGGACAATTAGTATGTGAAGATGTATGGGGGAGTGGATGTACAGACGCACGTTTTCTTGACCTCGGCACTGGTTGGAGGCGAGTCATCAGCTTCAAGCCCTTATCACTTTACCCCCGAAGAAAGAGCCCCCGGAAACAATTGGATAGGAGGCTGGGTGGGCCACAGAGCCGGTCTGAAGACCGTGGAGAAGAGAAAATTCTTGATCCAACCAGGACTCGAACTCTGACCCCTCGGTCGTCCAGCCCTGTAGCCAGTCGCTATACCGACTGCGCTGTCCAGGCTCCACATATATAAATGCAGACATGCGGATTCAGCCGAAAGAAAACTTCGTTTGTTACAGACAACATGAGACGTTGGTATTCTTCACGTGTGCTAACTTTGCGTTTGTTTGGGAGACCCCATTTGATTGTTGCGTAGGCTATACAAGTTATGAGATGCATGGATTTTTCATTATTTTCTCTTCAGCTTTAGCTCGAAACATGTTTCACTCCGACAAATATTTAAGAGTTACGCTCGAGGTTACCGCAAGCATGCATACGTGTAGGTACATGCGACCTGAGGTTTATCGCCTCACATGTTTCTTTTGTTATAAGAGCCATTTTTGAAATATTCGATAAATTTAAATTTGTGCTTTATCCAATATTCCAATTGACAGCCCCCCCCAATTTAAATCCGGTGTGCAACTTTCCACGTAGTCTCGCAATACCTAACGTCATTGAGATCTTTCCACAAGTTTCAGCTGTAAACCGTGTGGACGGATACTTCATTGTGAGTTAATTCTATACACTATGTCCAATGAACCCGTAACGAAAGTACTGTCACGTGTAATAATAAACATGAGTAATAAGTTTTGGGCCGGTCACAGTAGCCTTTTATAAAATGCCGGACAAGCTAACAGATTACCATCTCCAATGGTTCCAGTACTGCTGTTCGTGTCAGCGTTGTGTCGGATACGCCTGTAATACCGTGGTGACCGAACACGTTGCCCAGCAACGGGCGTCTATTCTCGTTTACAGCGTAACGCTCAGTAACCTATGCCTAGGAGTGCGTCACAATACCAAAAACTGTTGCTAGATGTATTCATATTCGTATTATTAGAGGGGGTGGGTTTCCCCATGCACTTATACCACTTATTGGTCCATTGTGCGTCCCCCTTTAATTTACACTGTCGCCATACCCTACCGGTAACGGTGCGTGCCATCAGCCCCGTTGAGCCAACGAGGTCGGCCCTCGGTACCGTGATGCTTCCCCATCTACCAGAGGCATTGGAAACTACTTGGGCGGGAAAGTATTGCCTTTAATTTAGCTCAGAGGCCTCCTAGAGACATGAGGTTCTTTTACGTGCCGTAAATCTACGACACGGGACACACGGCTTAAAGTCCCTCCCGGAGGACTTGTTCCCTGAATTTTTCCGCCCTTAAAAATTCCACGACCTCCGCCGGGTTTGAACCCGCGTACCTTGAGGCATGAACGTTACCCCTAGACTACGGAGGCCGCTTTGCTAGATGTATGTTCACTGTGTATCACATTATGCATGCTGTCCTCTTATTTCAGTTCCAAGTGCCGGGAGAAGGAAATAAGGATGTTTATCACGGTGTTTCTGTTGCAGCGTCTTGCTAACCGGAAGAGGAACCGAGTCCTGTGATGATGAATAATGTTTTCTTTTCCCCCTTGGCATGATGTTTTGTACTTCCTCGTGTAAGTCACGTACTGTGTGTCTCTTATGTAGTCGAGACCGCTGAGTACTTCTCGGAGGGTCGCGAATGTGTGAACTGCGGCGCCATTTCCACTCCCCTGTGGCGTCGGGACGGTACTGGCCACTACCTGTGCAACGCTTGCGGTCTCTACCACAAGATGAATGGCATGAACCGCCCCCTGGTTAAACAGCCACGGCGTCTGGTAAGGCAGACCACACAGGCGATACCACGCCGTAACTTTAAGGAAACCAAAGTATTCGAATTATTTTGCGTTTTGGAAAATCTCTCCAGATCAAAACCGTTTAAAGTTACCTGCCATTGTTTTCCCTGCAGTAATGTGGTTTATAATGTTAACATACCCCTTTTTAAAGTCATTTTTGTCATGATGAAATTGCTTGAAATTAATCTGAAGTTGTGTTCTATTTGAAGTGCTTTATAACTTCAGTTTATATCTGTGCAAGAAAAGACGACTCGCCGGAGTTTGGCATCAGTATCCACTACCCGAGAATAATGTGGGCTTTTAATTTTGTTGAATGTCATTTCGAAATTGTCACCTATCGCTGTTGTGCCCGTACAGAGTCGTGATCTGATTAGTTCATTTCTTGCGGTATAATTGCCCCAAATTAAGCCAATTTGTCAGATTATCCATGTACAGAAGTAAAACCGTTAATAGATCATTAGAATAAAGAAATATTAAAATATGAAATTTATTTCCAAATTCGAATACTTTAATGTATGTACTATATGTAGGTACGCCTTGTGGGAATCCCCCGTGACGCCGCCGCATCAACCTCGCCCTGACCCCTGCCCGTCCTCTCTAGTAATTTGTCTGGTGACCCTTGGCTAATGGAGCACTTGTGTACTTTTCAGTGGCGGCGTCGGAGACGGGGGATTACTACAAAAACTTCTATGGGTTTAATGGGATCACGCGAAGTCCACTGGAGGAAAAATCCAACAGACGTTTGGTAGGTGATGATAACTCTCCTCTAAAATAATACATTTAAAACCCCGTTAATATATTCCATGTGAATGTAGGCCAGTACGGGGTTCCGTAACCCTGCGTATGTTTATGTTTAATAACTTGAACAAACTTTGCAGAGACATTTAAAATAAACTATTAAACTGTTTAAGAAGCCATTGACACCCGCTGTGGTAATGGTCATACTGTCATAAGTGTCTTTACTAAGGTTTTCCCATTATTCATGTTGAGACATTTGTAAGTATTAACCGTAATTGAAATTCAGCAGAAAATCTGTTAATTGATTTGCATACTGTTTCGTGCTACAACGCATGAACTACATGTGATGGCGCGTGGGAATTTTGCAGCCGGAAATGAGACCCGGTTAACTTGAGAAACAAGAACTGTATATAAAAATGATTCTAATCACTGGTGGATGAAGTGATCAGAAATCCACGTTTTTAACGAATACAGCCTCAGAAATATTAGTAACTTAATATTTGAATCATTATAACATTTTCGCAGTAAAATTCTACATATTATGGAATTTCTGCACAAGAGACTGAAATTTTGATGTTTTTTTTTTCCGTGCAACATTTATTGAAGATCTAAAACTGAAAATTAATAAGCCTGACAGGAATCTAAATTATACATCGGTATCTATTAAATCCTTCACAGTTTTAATTAAAACCAAACTTAGTTGTAGTTCACAATGGAATATATTATCATAAAACACTACACGCAATTCTACTGCTTTCCTTAGCTTCTGCTATTAAATAACAACAGAATTCATCTTTCTGGGAAGAATGTTTAAATTTCTTGGATTTTCCTTCAGAGGAATCGCATTATTCTGTAAATATTTTGAAACTTAAACTAAAGTTGCATGAGAATTGTTGAAAATTTTGTTGCTATTTTAAGCGTTAATTTCTTTCATCACACCAACACAGCTAGATCTGAGCATGCATATTTTAAGGTACTTAACTCCGCAGGTTCAGTATTTTAGTTATGTAATTATCTTAATGCATGTTAATTTAGGCTTCTCTGTATGTTGTGAATTGTAGCCTGTATTTAATGTATTATTGTAATATATTCATATGCTCCTATGCTAATTGCAGTAGGTAAGGTATCTTTAGCTGCGGAGAAAACGGCAGTACATCCTAGGATTTTTTTTTTCGCTGGCTCTACAGCCCCCTTGGGCCCTGGCCTCTGATTTTCAGTTTCATGTTCATTTAACAGACGCTAGGACTCCTTCGACGAGTGATCAGCTCCTCGCAAGGCCTCTGCCTAAATACAGGACAACACAAACACACAATGAACACATACACATACCAAACATCCATGCCTTAAGTGAAATTCGAACCCAGGATCCCGGCTTCCGAGCGAGCGAAGACAGTGCATGCCTTTGACCGCTGGGCTACCGTGACCGGCACATCCTGCGATTACGAGTTATAATTCCGTTCTGTGGACACATTTTTCTGTGTATCACGTTTTACCAGATTTCATATTCATGTACTTATTACATTGTAACAGAAAGTACTTAAGATGTCAAACCAGAAAAAATAAATCATCCACAAGTTCATAAAGATGGAAATGTAATTAATTTAGAAACAGTCACTGACTCACCATCCACAAGTTCATAAAGATGGAAATGTAATTAATTTAGAAACAGTCACTGACTCACTCTCTCTCAGCGACTCATCCAGCCACTCGCTCACTTTGTGACTTGCTCACCAAAACACTCACAACTCGCTTCGAGACTCGCCAAACTTCTCGCTCATCATTCATCCGTTCTTTTCATCGCCGTTCACCCTCTCGCCCCCCCTCGGTCCTCACTGCTGACCCTATCACTTGCTCACCACTCACCCCACCGACTTTCTCACATGTAACCACGAAAATTAAGTTGAAAGTTTCAAAACCTGTTTCCTTTCCTTGTGCAGCGGGGAATTCATTATGTGTATTACTGCAGGATGAAAAATATTTTTCATAGAAGTGATATCGAGAGAGGCATAAATGAAAAATCTAATTACCACGGGACTTGAATATATGAAATTATATTACTGATGCTCTTCCAACTCATATTGTTCACATCTCTGAACTGCCTCTAGAACTGTACTTCTTTTGGCGTATTTTGGACTTCATCCAGTCTCCGAAACGTCGTGGTTTTTTGTCTTTTACATACCAGACGATGGATGAAGTCAAAAATACGCCAAAAGAAGTACAGTATACACCATCGTCAGAATTCTTTCAAGTCTGCCTCTAGAACGTTGAGCAATTTAATGCATTTGTTACACGACGCCGGTACCACAGGCTCGACAAGTATCATCTTTTGCAAAGAAAAAACGTATGAAACGAAGCAATGTACGTTCCAAGTTCTAATTCATGTACCTGTAATTGGACGATTTTTATGCGTAATATGGCCGGCCTTCATGCTAGCGGCGTTCCATTTATGGCTTCTGCTACCACATTGTAGATATTTTAATTAGTTTCAGTTCGGGCCCCCGGAAATTGAATAGGAATTTACAGAAAATATACAGACTTGGTATCAAACAACACTATGATATCAGACTGCTGTTAAGGTGTAGAAACTTCGATCCCGCTAGTTCTCTGGACCGAAATACGCAGAGTCCAAATATGAACGGAAACAAGGCACGAATACATTCCTACATCCCGGTTTGCAATCCGGAATCAGCACACTTCAGCATTTCGGCTTTGTTAAAGTGTGCCACAGCTGTATAGTGTCAACATATATTTTAGTTCCTAAAGTAGATTCTGACATGTAGTTGGTATGGGAGAGATAAGAAATTCAAACAGAATTTTCACGGGGAACCCCCCAGGAAGGCGGTCGAAGATAACGTGAGGGAAAGGCAAGATTATGTTCCATGTTAGGGGCGTTGATTCTGAGATAAGAAGTGAATGTCGAAAAAATGCCCAATTAAACCCACGTGTTCTGTGACAGAATTAGTTAATTATTATTTAATTTCTCGCTACTATAACTCTCGTTTCACATCCCATTTAGTATATTATTTTTTTTCCTTGACACTGCAGCCCCAGTGGGCCTAGGCCTACCTCCATGAACTTCTTCGTTCAGTTCGGTTTTTCTAGATCTTACACATTCGGTAGGACCCCTTGGGCGGGTGATCAGCTCGTCGCAAGGCCTCTACCTGTACACAAACANTACAATCAAGTTGCAACTCCTCCCCGTGACTGCATCCGTTCTGCGGTGGTATGACTCACGGCAAATTGCAGCCGCGGCGCGCACTTGATTGTACGCACTGTATATAAGAATTCATTTCGTACCTCACAGGAAACAGATCCGAACCCACGATCCCGGTTTCCAAGCGAACGAAGGCAGTACATGCCTTAGACCGCTCGGCTACCGTGACGGGCCCAATTAGTATATATGGATTGAATTCTTTATTTTCAAAAAATTGAAATTAAATTAAACAGCAGTAAAACTACAGTAACGCACTGTTGGGCGAATTAGGCAATTCTGACTGCATACTGGTTTGTAATCAGTTGTCAAAAAATAGATCTACTACGACACAAGTTACTAGCCGGTAGTAAACGTCGAATGAGCGATTAGTTATAGTCCTGTACATAGATATGTTATTCCTTCGGCTCCTATGCAGTTGAAACTTGGGTCTACTGCTTGAAAACGAACTTACAAAGAAGAAAGAAAATGCATAAAATTGGAAACTGCGAAAACTGTAGGATTGTATTCAGATGGACGTGATCTTAAATCTACTGTACTTCGTTTTAACAGATGCAGTATATTTTTGTGCACCGACTGTTGTAGACCTATACATTAAATGTTTCGTATGGTGTTAGTACTGAAGCGATTAGCAGTGATAAAAATTACGTGTTAATGTTTTTTTTACATGCGGAGATGTTCTACCAATAAGATGTGGTCTGACTTCATTTGAATGTTTGTTTTGCCGTCAACACGGATATTGGAAAGGGAGGCGCATTGTAAAATGAACTGGGGTCACACATTTCTATCTGTCGTTGACATAAATTTCATTTAAGTCACGCTTCGTTAAAACCAAGAAGCAAATAATAAAATAGAGGCCAAAGGATAAAGTTGACTCCGAACTTAATTACGCACCACGCCATAAAAGTGTATGGGGAAGTGGAGCTACATTTCCACGCATTTTTTTTGCCTCATTAAGTGGAGGTAAATGGTCAGATCCGTACCCCGGCCGCTTTGCCCCCGACGAGAGAAATTTCGGCACGCACTGGAAAGGAGACTAGGTGGGCCCCAATGTTGGTTTGCACGCTTTAGAAACAGAAAAATTCCTCGCCCTTGCCGCGAGCTGGGAATAAATATCAACTGATATAACTAAGCTAGAACAACAAGTTACGTTCTTTAAACATTCGTGCTGGGCTGTGTTTGTACAGAAATTTATTTTTGTCACCAAGTCCTTTCAGATGAGTTTTTTTTTTCTTTAATGCTAGTGGGGTGGGACTAAGTCCCTTGTACTGCAGCCACTTCTGGCCTATTGTACTAGCCCCAGATGATAGGTGAGGGTGATTGTGGAGCAATTGGTGGAATGAAGATTGGCGGGGGAAACCGAAGTACTCGGAGAAAACCTGCCCCAGCGCCACTTTCTCCACCCCAAATGCCACTTGACCAGACCCGGGATCGAACCCGGGCCGCCGCGGTGGGAAGCCAGTGACTAACCACTTGAGCTATGGCGCGGCCTGTGATGATGGGTTAGTCTGGTTGATGTTTTCTATTTCCTACATTTTGACAGTCTGTTATCACTCCATCTTATATGTTTAAGCGAAGTTGACCTTTAATTGTATTGTCACGTGTAGGGTGGCACGACGAAAATGACGGATTCTAGTTCGGATGATTGGATTTATTACGACCTTGGTTACAGCCTCTCTTCATTAAAGTCACTACAGACAATACAGCGTTACCGCAGGTTAATACACACAGTCCAGTTCACTGTTGCACACGCACTAGGATTTCCAGTCCTCGTTAGTTATCTCCTGAGAACGGACCTCAACACACAGACTATAACAGTCTCAATGGATTACACACTCCAAGTATTACACATAAACAGAGTCTTCAAATCACACGTTAAATCCTCACAGACCGACCTCCTGTACTCTTCTTTCTTCCTGGTTCCAATTCGCTCTGTTCGCTGCTTCCGCCCTTACTCGTAAGTGCCCTCAACTGAACTCTTGTCACTTTAAACTGAGAACAGTTATATCTTTAACTGTCGTTATATAGCCTCCGCACCAACAACGCACAGAAAACAGCCTCTGTTGTTGCATAAGGAAGTCCACAGAGAAAACCAGTCACGTGATAGCTACCTCGTCAGTCCATTGGCGAGCTGACTGTTGCCTACCAACGAGCCGTAAACATTCGTCCTATTGTTGAGTGCGCTTAAGGGAGGTGTTTATCGCGCCGTTGCCTAGTCATACACGTTACAGTATGTTCTGTTTGCTAATTTCATATTGTGAAATCGCTCATTTATGTGCACCTTTCAGCATCCAAATGAATGTAGAAACTTCATTCAAATTTTAATGCGTTCTATAAAGCTGGTACTAATTCAGATGAAAATTGAATGTGTTAACTGAATGTAAAGTCAGGCACATTAGTAGTAGTAATTATATGTAATGTATGAATCGTGTAAAGCGCAGTTAAATGGTTTGAAAGTATTTGTTAATGTGTACTGCCTGATGATGGCTTTATAAGGTAACACATGTAGCGTATTACCATATTATTAAGACCAATAAACTCATTATATACAGTGAAATGTGAGTGAGATTCTAATGGTGGTTGTGTTGAGACGGAAACAAAACGATGAGTTTGTATTAGTCTCAGTTTCTGCCTGACCGTGTATGTTGCATAAGAACGTATGATCCGACAACGTCAAGCGAGATGTTGGTCATTAATGAGGCAAAGATTGCACGAGTAAGCTGTACTGAAGGGCCGCGCCATAGCCCAAGCGGTTAGTCGCTGGCTTCCCACCGCGGCGGCCCGGGTTCAATGCCGGGGTCTGGTCAAGTGGAATTTGTGGTGGACAAAGTGGCGCTGGGGCAGGTTTTCTCCGAGTACTTCGGTTTCCCCTGCCAGTTTTCATTGCAGCAATTGCTCCACAATCACCCTCACCTATCATCGAGGGCTGGTACAGTAGGCCAGAAGTGGCCGCAGTACAGAGGACTTAGTCCCACCCCACTAGCAATAAAAAAAGAAAGCTGTACTGATGTGAAACCAGTAAGATACTGCCTGCGCAATTGCGTATTTAGGGTTTAATTTTAGGAGTTTCGAAAAAAATGAACGAACAAATCTAAGCTTTGTTACATAGGTTCACTTATATATTTGGCCCCATTACCACGAAATCTTTCCTTCACGAGTAACCTTTAACGTCTTCATACACGTTTCTACGGTACGAAAATTTGAAACGCTAATCCCCCCCAGTGATTACATTTTGATATAAAATTCTATAGTAATTGGTCGGTGTCACTATAGCCGATAATGACATTTCCACATTAATGATCATCATTTCATCCTGTGTGTCCACAAATTTGTACTAGTGAACGTAATTTGCGAAAGTGTATAACGCGTACAATAATGCCCATTTCACAGGTCACTTTTTGCCTTTTTATTTGCAAAGTTCCCAACACCGTTTTACAAATTAATGTGGTGGCTACACGCTGATTTGGTGATTCACAAAAAATGCATGGGTCAGTAAATGACGGGTTACGAAAGAGGCAGACAGGGCCCATTCATTCAAGGGAGGTTTAGGTCTGGGGAAGGTCGCAGGTTCAAGTCCCGATGAGGTAATTAGATTTTTCAATTGACCTAATCCTTTCAGTCGCACTGGGGCCCTGGGGTCGACTCAGCCTGTAAAAAATGAGTACCAGGAATCTTCCTGGGGGTAAAGGGCGATCGGCTCGTGAGGCTGACCTTACCGCCATCTGTAAGCCAATTGTCTAGAGAAAATTTGGGAACCTTGACGTCTCACAACCCTGTGGGCCTCCGCGGCCTGCTACAGGGATAGCTTTACTTCTTTTACCTTTCCCCATCGTCAGTATGTTTATAATGACCTTGGGCCACACCCAGTGTTCTACTCACTTGGAACCTTGGGTAATTTCAAGGAGATGGAAGCTGTAAACCCATCTTCATACAGTGACACGGCTAAGAACTGGTAGAACTTAATCTTCATACACTGGCGAGTGATCTTTAGGTAAGGGTCAGATTTACGTTAGCTGTGAACAGCCGATGCTGGTGGAACTAACAAATTGATAACTAACAATTGCAGTCCGCCTCGCGGAGATTGGGCATGTCCTGCTCGAACTGCCATACGGACAAGACGTCTCTTTGGCGGCGCAACTCAATGGGCGAGCCGGTCTGCAACGCCTGCGGTCTGTACTACAAGTTGCACGGCGTCAACCGTCCACTGGCCATGAAGAAGGACAGCATTCAGGTGAGCTTACGTTGCGCAGAAGTTGTTAGTGCATACCACGGATGAAGGAAACTTCCGCCAGAAGTAAGGCTGATGCTGTTAATCTCACCTTTCACTGCTGGAAATTTATGTAGACATTTAGGAACATAGAATATACAGAAGTTTCCAGATGCGTTCTAGTGATTATGTATCCTTCATGAGTAGTGATTTTCATGTGTTAACTCGCATAAAACAAATTACATCAAATAACGTAAGTCTAAATGGGTTTGGTGATGGTGCATAACGATGGGGGGATACCGGGTTTACTGAATGAGGTTAGCTCTTTCTAACGGACCCAGCAGAGTGGGTGCCCTCCGCCCGTCAGCTAAGGACGAAAACAGTTTCCGAAACGTTGTGTTCTGTAGTTTACTGGAGATGGACAAAGTCAAAAAACCTAGTAGTTCCGCGTACTTCAAATAAGTTGAAGATCTCCTGGCTTGTACGCCGTGTGGTTCAGTAAGCCTACCGGAGTTCCTTCGAAGTACGACGACGTTAGAACCCAGAAAATCGCACTCTTCAGGTTGAAGGTTTCAGTGGTATATAAATTCTGTCACGTCTCTAATTCTTGTAGATGAGCCACTTTTGAGCAATCCCATGAAATCACCTATTATTTTAGTGTAGATCTCATACTGAATTCCACCTGAGTCTCTTAAGCGTGATTTAAAAGATGAAGATATTCGAATGGACAGACAGACGAAGTATATTCGGAAAACATCCACAGGTGTCAGCTTGCGGACTGAAGCTTTCATCCACGCAGAAAAGTGTTAATGTTAAACAAGGGAGGGAATGAGTTCATGCCTTACAAGAGACAGGCAGGCTAGCCGTGAGCTGCAGGAGAATAGAGGAACTGAAAGCGAATGAAGAGAATTATCGGTCTACGTGACTTCTGAAGTGGCTTTGCACCGTAACCCACTGTGTGTACAGTCACGGCCTTCTAACGAGCCTTCGGATCATACACAGTAATACATAAAAGTGGCGTGTTGTTGTGTGTATACTCGCTGCATGCATAAAAAGTTCTGTCCTGCAGTCTAGCGTTGGGCGTTGTACTTGCTTCAGTGTAGTAAATTTACGTTAAAACGTGTCCGTTTATATTATAATGTTTTCTCAACCTACCGCCCACGAAACAGGGATGGCTCGCTTGCTTTTGTGGCCCATTCATAATAGAGGAAGTGTAACACAGAGAGTCAGGGCAATCCTGTACTTATAACTGAAATAATTATACTTACACGAGCGATTTGTTTGAAATATATTACTCGAGTTAATAGTTATATTAGTGTTAACCATTTGGTATTCAGGTGGTTGGCGTTTGTGGTTCAGAAAGATTATGCTTAAGGCATGAACATGTACATAAATTTCACGTGTCAGGCTATACTCATTAGTTAGGTTAGGGTTCTGTAAGTCCATGTGCAACTCCTGTAGTGTCCATGTAAAGTGTAATATCTGAAAAAAGGAGTAACATTAATGTATGAATTTACGTCGAAAAATGCGTATTTCTGTGTTGACAATAGCTATTTATATTATAGGGATCCATAGTCGTATTTTTATTTTTTTTCCCCCTTTTTACCTACTAGCGAACACAGATGAAGCCCAACAACATTTTTCACCTTATTAGATGTTTGACGAATGTGGCTCATATTTCTGTCCAGCGGTAACTTCTGGAGCTGACATGTCGAATGAACGTACTGGCTAAATTCTGTTTAAATTCACTTTTCTCCGTACCCCGTTACAACTTTAGTGTGAGCACTTGAATAATTGTACTGGAAACAACCGTTATCTGCAAGTTTACAGTTAATAAAAGTGAAATATTTTATAATGAAAGTCATAATCCTGAAGGCTGAAAGAAAACGGGCAGGAGAGCGAGTGCCGCCCTGGTGTGGCTTGCCGAAAATCATTTCACTCTTTGATGTAGATAAGTTCCAGTGTTATAGAAGCTGACCAGTCACTTCCATGTAGTGTCAAGATCATTTATGGTGGAGCTATACCTTTACTCCTCCATATGTCTTCGTGGAATAGTGCTTGATTAATTAAGCACAGGGACAACTTCACTTTCAGCTCCCTCTCCGAGATTAACTCATGCTGTAACTTATGTTCTCGTATCGATACACTAACGACCTAAGTGTGAAATGTAATTCTGATGTTCTTATTTTGCAGACGAGGAAGAGGAAACCGAAAAGTGGAACCCCCAAGTCAGAAAATTCTGGAGGCGGGGGTGGTGGAGGTGGGAGCTCCAACTCAGTGCAGCAAAGTCCGAGCTTGGTGAAGTTGGAACAGCTAGGTACCCTGCACCTTCTGAGCAGCAGACATTAGTCGGAACTCGTCTCTGGATATTCATTTGTATTTGTTTCCTTCAGGAATAACTTAATAACCAAAATATAATTTTTAATGGCTTAAATATTAAACATTTTACTGTTAACAAGGATGTGTATCATAAGGCGCATCCTCATTACTCGTCCTCGTGCGTCAGAAGCTTACTGCTGCCGGAAAATCAGGATCTGGAGCTGATATCTGTTGTGAAGAAATGCGAAGGCTTTGTATGCAAACCAGTTTTGGCGTCCACTTCGTCAGCTCTAGATCCTGATTTTCCGGCAGCAGTAAGCTTCTGACGCACGAGCACGAGTAATGTGGATCCGCCTTAAGGAGCGTACATAAAAAAATATTTGCCAATGTAGGTAAGGAGCAGTCAAGCCAGCAATTAGTGTACGTTAACTGTTGATGGCCGAAAGGCCGAAATATGTAATACTTAATACTTAACATATTGTAAATCTGTACAAAAAGCCGTGTTGAAGGAAACAAATATAATTGAATATATAATACAACATGACAATAAAATACAGTATTTATATTTGTAGATATATTAGGTTTCGTGTCTTCACGTTAATTTTACGATACATTACATTTAATTTTTAGAGACGTGGAATAGGCTACCGCTCTCTCTCTTGCCCTTAAATACTTCTTAGTGGTATTCCTGTATTAGATCACCCTCAGGACATAACACTGAGCCCGTCTCCATACTAGGTGTCTCACGAATGCTGTACTACGTCTTCAAGATGTGCCGTCTCTCTGGGCAATTTCCCTTAGTGCCTCTCAGACTGGTAGCAGAACATACACGCATAAATCTTAATTTTTTACTACGTACTTTGGATTGTGAATTCGCATCTTCAAAAGTAGTTTGATTAATTACATACGGTACTAAATTCAACTAAGGAGGAGGTAAAAAAAAAGTAAAGCTATCCCTGTACCAGGCCGTGAAGGTCCATATGGTTGTGAGACGTTGAGGGTCCCACATTATCTAGACAATCGGCCCAAAGATTGCGGTAAGGTTATCAGCCTTACGAGCCGGCCGCGCTTTACTCCCCAGGAAAATTATTTAATCAATTCCTGGTACTCATTTCTGTTAGAGACTCAGTGAACCCCAGGGCCATAGTGCGGCTGGAAGGATTAGGTCAATTGAAAAAATCCAATGACCTCATCGGGACTTGAACCCGCGACCTTCCGGCTTGTAGCATAGCCCCTCAACCATTCTGTAAAATAACACAAGTAGGATAACAGGTTAAAATAGAATCATCTGTGAACACGAAGGAGGACAATTTCAATTTAATGTTTTCCAAAGTATCCGTGAAAAAGTATATTTTTAATTAACTGAGAAGGTGAGCAGGCTTTAGGTACGTGGATGACTGTAACTTCAACATGGAAGGAATCGACATGATAACATTCAGCACCTGTATGCGAACGTTTCTTTGCGCGCCGAGAGCCCAACAAGGCCAAGCATATCATTTCTGAACGAATATTCCTCATGCACCCCTAGAAAACGTTTCCAGAGAAAGACTACTTGGAAAACTTCCAGCCACATGCTTCTAAGAGTAGTGTGTTTTCCATTGGATTTATAATTGTGCTTCAGTCTTAACTATGGAAAATGAAGAGTATAATTATATAGGATTGTGAATGATCATTAAAATATAAAATTCCGTCGTGTATGCCTGATGTTATTTAAATTTTACAGTTACCTTTTTTACTTATACAGCCAGTACAAAATTTTGAAATGCTGCTTGTGCCATGATAAGGCTTTCTTATTTCTGTGAATATGGGAAGCACAGTCTGCAAAAATGCAAAAAGTTGTAGTCCCTGACAAATTATGTAACAGAGTAATATTTCATGCGAACTGTTACTGCGAGTGATAACAAACACGTTTTATGAAAATGTTCATAACTAAGATATGAAAACTGGCTTTTATATCTCAGAACGATGTGCAGCAGTTTCTACTGCAAGTCAGATACGGCAGAATAGTGTAACGTGCTTATGGTAAACATTTTCTTTTTTACTTTATTTTGGTTACTGGATTTATTTCTTAATTACGAATGTCGTTGCTTCAAACCAAACTCTGATTTATAAAGAAGCAATTGCAGAGAACTAATCTTAGAATACCAGCTTTCGCGTCTAGTCAGCCTCGCTGTCCTACGATTCAGTGTCAGCGCATCTGAGGGGCTGCAGTACTGAACATGCAAGATATTCTCAGAGAACTAGGGTAACCTGAACAAAAACTTGTTGGAAAATGACATTGCATGAGCTGAAATGAATAGAAAATAATGAAGCGTTTTCTCGAGATAAGCGTTTCTTTGTAACGAAAAGGAAGTTTCTGATTTCTAACCTACATTCACGATATGTAAGGGCGTGCAGACTGGGTATATCTAAGTATGGGGGTGTAAAGAGGGTTCGAAGGTGTAGGTTATGTTGATACGATTACTGAGGGCTAAGTTGTTAAGGGAGAAATCCCTACCTCAGTCCAATCATGCAGTCTTATTTACCTATGCGGTTAATTAATGAGTTCAGTTGAGTTGGTAATTTAAATTTAATTCTTCCGTTCCCCATTAATAATAAGCTTAAACAAAACTGTAGACACCTCTAAACAAAATTGAATAGAAATGTAGACACATCTAAACAAAATTGAATCAAAATTCTCCAGTTCCCCATTAATAATAAGATTGAATAGAAATGTACACACATCTAAACAAAATTGAATCGAAATTCTTCCTTTCGCCATTAATAATAAGCTTAAACAAAACTGTAGACACCTCGAAACAAAATTTGATAGAAATGTAGACACATCTAAACAAAATTGAATCAAAATTCTCCCGTTCCCCATTAATAATAACATTAAATAGAAATGTAGACACACAAACACAATTGAATCGTAATTCTCCCGTTCCCTACTGATAATAAGATTGAATAGAAATGTAGACACATATAGACACAATTGAATCGAATACATTTACATACAAAACATGCGAATGAGCAGAAATTACGTCCTCAGTGTAGATTAATTTTGCACACTTTGCGCAAATAAGACAAAGAAATGTGCTTATTGTAATAAAAGCACAAATGCTATTTAAAGAAGCGTAATTTGTTTGCTTTCCTTTATACTGCACAATAGGATTTTGATACGAAATTCCTTAGTTGGGGGGAGTAAGAATTAGAAAAGAAGGGAACCGGAACATAATTAATAGCTCAGATGTAGATATAATTCACCCCAACTTAATAAGTAACTGTACATTGGCCTGAGATATAATCAAATAAAACTGCTTGAAATCCAAACACCCAGTTCTTTCTCATGTTCCCAGGAGCCCGCCACTCGTGCCTGTCCTGAGCCAGTGAGTGGATCCAGTGCACATCGTCATGACCTATTTCTTTAAGGTCCGCATTTAAATATCACAGTATTCATTTTAATGTGCTAAAGCCTTTCGAAACAGTACGGCCAAGTGCAGGGCCAGGTGTAACATCTTGTAACACGTAAGTTTCTATGAAAAAGGCGTTGTTATCCCCCCACACACCAAACATGTTGGAGGACAATTCCTTTTCCCCTGCCCAAAGCATCTTATTCGACAGACTGAGCTGTCATCTGTACCTGGAGTCGAACCGCAGCCTTAGGAAGCGCCATTCTGTGACAAGAGGCCCACCCCCTTGACACGGCCCAGTTCACATATGAGCCCAGAACACATTTCCGAACTGAAACAAAACACATCAAGGGGTCAAGACCCGACCCAGCCCATAGCACCCTCAGTACCTCCCAAGAGTACCGCACCCGGCCAGTCCGAGTTAACGGTAACTTGAATTTGTCCTCATAGACGTTTACAGTATTAATAAAATAAAAATTTTCCAATGTTTCTCGTGAAAGACACAGTTTTCAGGCGTGGAGCTTCATGCTTCCCACTAGCTTTTTTTTTTAAATTGTCTTTACTGACGACGATGTATCTATTTCGTTAAAGTCAATTCGTGGTTAACGCGCAAGCAGCCAGAAGCCACAGCCTGCCCATATGAGATTCCCCGTCATGTGGGGTGTCCCTTGCGCCGTAACTGAGTGCCCAGTGAGTTTAAGGCACATGCGCAGACGGCATTGACATCATACTAGAACAGAAGTAACCTCAGAAGGCTCAGAAGACGTGTGTATTGAGCGGGTTGGCATAGCAATACCCGCCCCGTACTCGTATTCGAAGGTGCTTGGGTTATAATCTTGGCCGAGATGCTACCAGCTACCCTGACTGACGATATTGTGGGTTTCAGCAGTCCCTTCAGGCAAATGCCGGACGGTATCTCGAGTAGGCCACAACTTCTTTGTTCCGAATCTTTCCCATTTCATCACTCGTTCTACCTTTAGAAGCTGTACAGTCCGAGAAACCTACAGCCTCGTACAATAACCTATAAAATGACAATAACTTTTGTTATGAATGACACTGTATGTATGGAAGGAATGGATTCGTTGGTTCAGTCTTTGTTATCTCCCCCCGGAAAGAGTAGGAAAGTAAAAGGGACAGTTATCTCTGGACTTAATTACCTAAGTATCATGTTGTGAAGGCGTGTGGGGAGTAGAGGTATAGCTCCACCGTTCTTAACTTCGACACTAGATGGAGGTTAGTGGTAAGCTTCACCTCCCCAGAGCCAGTCTGGACTTTATGGAGAAGCGAGAAGTATTGCTATCAGGAATCGAGCCCTCGGTCGTCCAGTCCGTTGCCTGAGCTGTCTCTACTTCCACCAGAAATGTCTCCGGCTACTTGGAAAGTAAATGTACAATTCACGTTCATTTTAAAGAGGAATCTTGATGAGAAGACCAAAGTGCATGTCCTCGTTATATTTTCCACATAATTTCTGGTAAGAAAAGTGAAAGGTTTGTGCACGATTTATATTTGTTTCAACCGTCCGCCGCCATAGGAAATAGTTCTGCAGCGCGAATTAAGCACAGAAGTCTGAATGGATGTAACTCCTGCAAAAATGTATGTTTCTGGGTTTGAACTACAGGCATGACGCGGAAACATGTTGGCTATGCCGAAGCCAAGTAGCTTCCTCCTCTATACACAATTAAAGTGTTCCGTTACGCTACATCGTTTTGAACCGAATACTCATGGTTAAATATTAAAAAATATCAGTCAAATGGTCTAGTTCGCGACGTTATCAGTGTCCTCGCCAGTGCACTTGCTCTGTTTCTGATAACCTCTTTAGTATCAGCTCATTATGTTTAAAGCAGGAATGCTGAGAAATTGCGCCTTTGACTTATGCACCATCAGTACGGGCTGAATTATAACAAGGAAAGCTTACGGTTATCGTAGGTATTTCACTTATTCATTACGTTGACTGGATATTTTAATTTTCTAATAAAGAAGACAACCTACGGACCTGACACTTCATTAAATGGTTGGTTTTGCTGTTAAAAAAATTGTCATTATTTGCCCATTCTCTTGAGGCCTTCGAGTCCTAAACAGTCTGCTGCATACGTCACAGATTGAGCTCACTCTGAATGTGGTACCTGTCAATTGAAACATACAGATTATCCAAAAATCTCTGAAGGTAATGCAGTTTCTGGACACGGTCCAATAATTTCCTCCTCTGGAAGATATATAGCTCTGTGATTATCATAGGCATAGACCTGCTTAGGGACTGAGGGCTTATTAGGCTTCAAAATAATTTTAGACCAGCTGACCCCTTTTTAATATTTTCTTTTTTAAGTGTGAGGTGGATTTAAGGAAGTCCGAAATTTTACCATGTTTGTATCCAGTGTAAATTTTGGGTTGCAAAAGTTTAACCCGCGTTTCGATGGTTGCTTTCTTCTGAAGCTGCGTTACTGTAGGTTCAGGAGTTAGCTTGTGAGGCATGAATCGTGGTGTAATTTGCAAGCTCATAGAGGCAGTGAGTTCGAAGACAATATTTAAATTCTGAAAATGCATCTAAAACTGCTTGCAGAGCAAAGTGGTTATTCGTCGTGACAAAGAGATGTATTAATGGACTTGTGACTTGAAATTGTTCCCTGTGATGACGATGTAGGAGATATGAATGGGGAGATTGCTGGAATGATAATAAAATGGGAAAAACAAAATATTCGGAGAAGAGTGTGCCTCAGTGGGATTCTCTCTGCTGTAAGCAGTCACATATTAATCGCATGAACCATGTCAGATGCCATGCAAGTGGCTCTTGTTCTGATGTCGCAATCAGTACTCATCATTATGAACAGTAGGCCTAGGAATATGACTTCCATATGACGATTGACAAGCTGTCGGTCCGAGCGTGTCCTTCATATTACGTATTGAGGAGCTTCATAACTTGTGCATTTCGCTTATAATTAGAATCCCTAAGTCATGGAGGATGAAATGGGACGGGCAAGGCATATAGCACTCACAGGGTGTTTCACGACTTTAGGGCATAACTGCAGGAGGTGATTTCCTAGGTCTTTGTGATCAAAAAAGTTCATATAAACATGTGTCCGATTTTGGACGGTTACGGAGTTATGAGCGTTTTAAACTCAGGATAGAAGGTAACGATTACTGACAATAAACGGAACAAAATAATAAACCAGCATAATGCATGATACATTTAAAGTATTAATGTGAAGTTAACTTTGTGAAATTACCTTTGATTTGAATTTATTGGTGCTTAAAGCTGATTTTCGAAAATGCCACCGCCGGCTGCAACACAAGGTGCCACTCTGTTGTGAACCGCGCCGGACATACCAGCCCACCACGCCTTAGGTAGCTCTCAAGTGTCGAGATAACGAGAACGCTCTGTCTGTAGCCGGCTAAAAATAGCGACCTGCCAGATGACAGACGCGGTTCATACGAGGGCGTGTACGGGAATGAAAAAATGGTCATAACTCTGTAACCATAAAAAATCGGACACATGTTTATATGAACTTTTTTGATCGCAAAGACCTAGGAAATCACCTCCTGCAGTTATGCCCTAAAGTCGTGAAACACCCTGTATAGGATAATAATGGAGACGTCAGTAGTTAAGACCTAGACTTATGTTAGAGGATAATATTAAAATGGATCTTAAGTAGGATGGAGTAGAATCGACTGGATTCATCTGGCTAAGGTAGGGACCAGTGGAGGGCTCTTGTGAACACGGTCATAAACCTTCGGATTCTGTAAAATGTTGGGACATTCTTGAGTGGCTGAGCGACTGGTGGCTTCTCAAGATGGGCTCAGCTCCATGAAATTAGTTAGTTAGTTGTTAGTTAGTTAGTTAATGCCTAGTTTATATTTGTGTCATTGTCATTTCTCAAATGGTCCGTTAACGTCAAGCCAGTTACAATCCAAGATGGCCTGTAAATGATAAAATGTGCTTCACCAACTAAACTTAACGGATTTATTTTCTAGATAGTTACGGAGACTGCTGCACAGGCGCTGCCCGCACGAAAATCGGCGACGACATCCTTAAACTCGAGCACAGCAGCCTTAACTTTCTGGGACACAGCACCGGCGGTACCAGCAGCACCGGCACTGTGACGTATTCGAGCCTGTACAGTTCAACTTCTGCACAACCACAACAACAACCACAACCACTCCCACTCCACGTAACTTCGCCCCTGCAGTACCATCATTCTCCACATCTCTACCATCAGAGTGGTAGCGGAGGTACCGGAGTGTGTAGCCCACCCGTCAATCACTATTATAACTTGATCCAACATCACATGAACCACTCTGGCAGCCAGCACGTGACCACGACGATATCACCACCAAAATCGGAGTGCCCATCGCCTCCTGCAGCAGAATTACAGGCTAACAGGTCGCCGGTTCTCATGTCATCTCACTCGCCTGGGGAAACAGCCCTCGGCCCATCCCCTCACATTGTCACCTTAGGCAACAGCAACAATAACAAAGTGGTTGTCATGGGCAACGGAGACAATATGGATAGACCCACTGTAGTCTCCATGTCATCGTAGACGGACACGTGACAGTATAAGTAACTGTTAGGCCGTCAAGCGCCCTAAAGTGTCTTGTGAGCGTATTTCGAGGCTCTCTCCAGTTTGGGCGTTAAGTACAATGGATGCGCGCGAGGCGTGAAGGGCATGTCGGTCCGGAGCGCAACAGAGGTACATATGTTTACATCTGAATGACGTAATAATTTCGGTTACAGTTCAAGGGTTGAGATATCAAACTCTGTGAACAGATGTGGGCAATAATAATACTGCCTTTGAATGTTGGGTTCATTCAAGGTCTTTAAATTATGTAGTGATATTATTAAGTACCCTTTTTCGTAGCAGAGAAAGTGTTTAATGAATTATAAACTAATTCCACCGAGCAGTCTTCCTTCAGAAGTTGACAGTCGCTCAGATAGTCAAGGAATCCCCCCTTCTATCAATTCGGAAGGTTCATTGCCGTGCAGACATCAGCCCACCACTGGAACCCGTCTGTAGCCAGATGGATTTAGTCGATACACTGGCAACCTGTGTTCTTAAAATCGATCTTCATATTTTCTTTATATCTAAGCTGAGCTCTAAGTAGTCTCGTCCCTTCACCGTATCCCATCAAAATTTTGTGTGCTTTCCTCAACTCTTCCATGCGTACTACATGCATTCCCATGTATGTAGCACGCATGGGAGAGACGATAAATGCAAGCAGGGTTTTCATGGGATAGACAGAAGGAACGAGACCAATAGGAAGAGCTTGACGTAGGTGGGAGGATATTAATAAATTTAACTTTTAGAAATAGAATGGGGTGGTATGGACTGGATTCATCTGGCTGAGGAGAGGGAACAGTGGCGGGCTTTTGTGAACAATGAACTTTTTGGTTCTATAAAATGTTGGGAAATTCTTAACTTGAGAACAAAATCGAGCGTTGCTTGGTACAGAACAACGAAAAACAGTGCAATCCATCCGACCGGTAAGGGCGGTAGAACCGACTGCCGAAGTTTACGCTGTATTCTCTCTCGATGGAGCGATTACCAGTAGCCCGGACTCTCCGCAGTGTTCACATTGTTTTTTTGAACACCACGTAAGCTGTAATGGATGTTAAGTAAAGGTAAACTTGTTCCTGTGCATAATTAATTAAGCAGCACGCCAGGAAGACGTGTGGGCGAGTAGTGGCGTAGCTCCACCATGCTTGACCTCGGCACTAGATGGAGGGGAGTGGTCAGCTCCACGCCCCGGCCGCTTTACCCCAGTGGAGAGAGCCTACGTTTACCCGTTGAATAGGAGTTTGGGTGAGCCTCAGAGCCTGTCTGTACCCTGAAATAGAGAAAAATCGTTTGCCCCTGTCTTCCAGTTCGTAACTCGTCGCTGTATCGACTGAGCTATCCCGGCTGCCGTGGTGACTGTTAGTTTGATCATTAATGGAGAATCATTGAGGATGATAATCGGAAATAATTACACTTAAGTCTGTATCTAAAGAAACCTTTCATTAACACGTTATGTTGTAGAGGTTATACTAAAGCAGAGAATGATAAAGATCGCAAAGAAGATATATCAGTAAAGCGGTGTGTTTAAAGATCAATTAGAAGTGTTGGTGGTAAGAAATTGGAAAAGACTAGAGTGAAACGTCATGTATTATGAAAATAGAGATTATGGCTAAAATTTGTGGGATTAGACCAATTATTTTTCCTGTAAGGACTTTGTGTGTGATACATCCACCTGACAGAAACAGCTGAGTGTAACTGATTTTTGAAGGTCTGTTCTTGTGCGAACCTCCCAGGTAACAGATGTTAGTTTCGGTCACAAGTACTTTTTAATAAGTAACTTGTTCAAAATTTACTCGTATATTTGTCCTAATCGTCGTTGTCATTATCTCTACGGCCCTGCGTGGGCCCAGACCTTCTTTAGAGGCTTCTTCCACTCCTCCCCATTTAACGTCAGGCTCTTCGATTTGCTCGCCTCAGAATTCTGGTATCCTGGTCTACACTACTACCCGTCTTAGTTTAGGTTAGCGCCCTGAGTTGGTGTAGGGTTCTTACATTCCATTATCAAATTTTCAAGCCCTTTGCTCGTTTGTCGTCAGATCTCATATAAGTTACTTTTTACGGAATGGGGTCATTAGCCCTCAACCTGGAGGTCCAGCCGTCCCTGTTTATATTCCCAGAGTCATAGTAGCGCGGCTATACCCCCAGTTATTGGATTTCCCTATTTAGACGCTCAGGTATACGTCGGGGCGGTGGTTTTGCCCCCCTCACTCTAAGTCTCTTGTATTTACTTGCCAAAAATACACATGTGCCTTTAACATTTGATATTAATCTCAGTTTTAATTTACACAATCTACTATCAGCTAAACGCATGTTACGTCACATGACAGGGCCTAACAGTATAGGCTCTACATGTTTCGACTGAATCGTCACCCCTGCAGGACTTGCAGGAACACATTTCAACAAAGCTAATAATACACGTCCTATTTAAAGTGTTTGAGTTTGCTCAATGTTTTAATTCACCATTCAGAAGTACTTGCAGGTACGCTTGTATTTCTACTGTGGAAGATCCATTGCACGAGTATTACTTATGTTTCAAGCACAGTTACTTACGTAAGACAACCACTCAGCCTGGGGAAACTCTTGCATGGAACTTCAGTGCTGAACAGTGGCAGTATGATATAGCTTCTTATCGGCTATCTGCCTAAATACAAATTGAATCACTTTATTGTAAATATATTGGGAGTTGTGGTGTGTTCTGTGAATTAATGACATGGTTGCCAAACAACTTGCATTTTAACAGTTTGTATTTTGTTTAATTTATAGTAAGTTAAGTTATAGCGTTATGTATATAGGATTCTTGTAATGCGGAACCGACATCAGATGTGTGCCTTTTCGTGTTTGGTTCAGCCTGCATGTAATATAGATCATGGCAAAGTTCTTGGATTACCAGAAGGTCCTTGTAGAACTGTATAGAACTTCCATGATTTCATTTTTAGAACATCCTTTTATGAAACCTGCATAATTTGGTATCTTATGTGATAGGGTAGCAAATAATAAAATACCATCCTAAAAATGTCATGACCCTGGTTTACTTTTTTAGCCTGCATGTCAGTTTGTAAACTTTATCTTCATTCCAGTGAAGTTTTATTTTATTTGTCAGATGAAAGATAATTAAATATTGAAGCGAGTGTGCCATCAAGTCAGAGTTAGAAGAAATAAATGAAAATTTCACACGAAATTCCAGAATTCATTGAAGTTAATAGAGTAACATTTGTTTGGTTCTGGCAGTGGTGGGGGAATCTTCAATACCGTTTGAAATTGAGAACTGTCAATGTGGCAGCAGCAATGGAGTTCGAACAGCAAATTTTAGTGTTGTATTTTTGATTCATATTAATGAAATAATAATAATATACTCGCCATATGAAAAGCAGAATGATTCCTCTACTGAATGGAGTTCGTTTCAGAATTTAGTACAACTTCATCTTTGGTTATTGTGTGTTTTTATTACCTGTATAACACAGAGAGTTGTAGGATTATGTTTTAATATTATGAAATACCCGTACAAAGTAAAAGCACTACTTTACTGAATCAGGTGTATGCCGTGACTCACTGCCAGGTTCTGCATTTACTCAGCCAATTTGACAAGCACTTCTGTTTTTAATAGCCTTCATGATTTTCAGAGCTGAACATGCAGAACAAATCGCAGCGGTCACTGCTGATCATTAAGGGAACACTAGAATACTCTTTTTAAGTATTTTATATGTTGTATGCTGTGCCTGAATGCTTTGTATACACACGTCAAGAAACCAAAGCATTGTTGCTAAATATGACTACAACTGCAACTGCAACAGAACGTTCATACCTTAACTGTATTGGTATTTGACGAAGACTTAGTATGTTTCTCTTTTTCGGAGAAAACTTTCTTACTGAAAGCAATAATGTTCACTGTGTTCTTGGTACAACAATGATTGAATGGCTGGAAGTACTTTCTGTATGAAGTAATTGATGAATGTACAGTATATGTCATGTAGTGGTGTGAGATGTTCAACAGAGTTTCCTCCAGACACGGGATCTGTTCGTTTATAGTGGAATATGTTCTTTCTTGAGCCTCCCGATCACGGTAATAGCTTTCAGCAACAATAACAACTGACTGAAAACCTAGAAAGGAACACTATAATGTTACTATTTAATGCTGTATATCAATTCGGTATTTAACATTCTCACTTCTGACTCATTGTATTTTTTTATGTTATAAAATATTTTATTTCAAGGAACTGAAGATATAAGGGCACGTAGTTAATTAAACGCTCAGCAATATCACAGCATTTCATTTGGTTGATATTCCCAAGTTCTCGTAGTTTGTGCTTTCGGGAGCGAAAGACAAAGAATTATTTATTCACAATTTTCAGCGAGAACTAAAGACAATTTAATATTTGTGAACTATCAAAGTTCGGATTTATTTAAGACAAAACGGGCATCATACGCCCTCATCACTGAAACCAACAGCATCATAGTACAGCATAGTAGAACCATTCCCCGCCTCTGCAAGGCGGGAGTCTAAACTACCAAATGAGGCACCAATATAGACATGCTCAGGTTAGCTATAGGCCTACTGGAGAAAGAGTGGATGTACTGGTATGTGAAAGAGTGGGTGACTGTTTGATTGTAGATTCATAATAATTAACCCAGGATAAAAACCTGAAAGTGGGAAAATGGTGTTTTACAAACTGTACAGCACTAATATAAATATAATAATAAATCACATGTTGTTTATCATGTTTTATGTTACTCATTGTCAGTTCTACCCATGTAAGTAAAATGTATATGAGGCAAAATTTTCCCCTCGAAGTCCTATAATAGCGGGAATAAAGCTAGAGAGTCACTCTCTGATCGCTTCATTCCCGAGGAAAGAGCACGCTGTGTCGAATTGAAAGATAAAATTCCTGCCCTTAGTGTGTCACAAGTTACTGATATTGTGACATGTCAACACATTGCTAGGCAACGGCCAGATATTCTTCCACAGTACGCGTACGCACCAATAGGACGAATGTTTAGAGCTTGTTGCTAGGCAACAGTCAGCGCGCCAGTGGACTGGCGAGATGGCCATCACGTGACTTGTTTTCTGTGTGATGTGCGCTACGTAGCGCTGTGTTTTCTCTGTGGGTACGTGCCAAGAGGATATGAGAGAATACGAGAATGGGAATTGGTGTCTCTTTGAGTTGCGAAGTTCCAAGGTAACAGCAGTGTTGCTAGACGAAGAATTAGAAGACATAATGTGTGACGTTATGTGTCTATAGTTACAGTAATCTTGAGAGTGTGAGAACTAATTGTAGTTAACGACTAGTGAAGATCCAGTAAACCGATTCATTAGTCCAAACTAACGTCTTAGTCACTGTGATAAACATGACAGTATCATAACTTATTGTACTATATAACATATCGACATGAACGTGGTTTCAGTTGAGAGATTTTACCGATGGTTGCCAAACATTGCCGCGGTGAATATTAATGGAAGTGTTAATTCACAATTCATCTGTTCTGCTAACCTTCGGACTGTATGTAGGAAGTCAAGTGAACTATTTCCTTAACATTCGCATATTTGTCTTGAGTCGTGATCCTATGTCTTGAATTGGGCCTAGACTCTAACGCCGGTTAAGGATTTGGCTTTCTAAAAGTTATCTATGATCTCAACAGCAAAATAGCTGAAAGTACCTTGTGATAGGCCACGATCGCTTCCTCATAAATCCCGTTATTCATGATTCAAAATAGTTACAGCGTTTGCTGTGTTATGCTATGCTACATGAACGCAAAGGTTTACA